TATGGAATTTTACCCTCAATAGTAGTATGACATCTAGAACATTTATGATTCATTTCAAATGAAAATAAATTTTAATTAGGAATTAAAATAATACAGCTTAAATCTTTATCAAAAGTAGTAAAATTGAAATTGAAATTAAAATTAAATTGGGTATTTAAAAAAAAAATAATTTGGTTAATTTTAAAATTTTTATTTTTATTTTTTTAAAAGTAAAATAATGATATAATTAAGAACCTAAAGCAAAAGATAATTATATCAAATAAAAAACGCGGCAAAAAATTTAACATGCAATGATGGATGCACAAAGCAATAATAAACTAAAATATTTAAACCTAATTATTAATATTGTACAGGAAATGAATAATTAATTACTCATAAAATTATTTAATAAATTTAATGATAAAGCACGTGAAATTTTTTTTACTATAATATAATATATTATATATATATATATATATAACTATACACGATAAGAATTAAATAATTTTTTTTAATACAAAAAATGAATAGACTCGAGCCTCTTGGTTAAGCATGTAGAAAGTTGATACGTTGGGAATTCTATGTTTTGATGATAATTGTAAAAACGTACAAATTTTCAGGTAAAATATAAACTTTTGTCTCTTATAAAAAAAACATTTCTTAAATTATATATGTATATATATGTCTATTTATATCAATGAAATATGTAAAAAAAAAAAAAGAAAAACAGAGAGGAGGAAACGGGGGAAGAGAAGGTTCGAGAGAAAAGAGGAAAAACAAAGAGGAGGAGACGGGGAAGAGAAGGTTAAAGAGAGAGAGAAGCCGGAGTGGGAAGGAACGAGAAGAGAGAGCAAGAGAAGGAAGACGATGACGATGCGAGCTACTGAAGTGCAGAAAGAAAAGGTGGAGACTGGAGATACGGTAAAATTTAAGTTTCAAGTGTAGGATGAGAATGAATGTGGAGTTGTGACTGTAGGTTTTGAGGAAATATATGAACCGTTTAGGAAATGGAGTAGAAAACTAGGATAGATGGAATAGGAGAGTGGAAAGAGACGGTGAATTCGTTGAAATGAGGATTTGAGGTGTGAGTAGAGGTAAATGGAGGAAGTTGTGGGAGGAGAGATTGAGGAGTTCAGTGAGTGAGTGAGTTACCGTTAGAGGGAGGAATATGGTGATTAAAAAGGTGCAAGGGAGTTCATAGGGAGGTGTATTTGGAGTGACTGGGGACGGGCATAACGCGCACGGATTGAAGCTGAAGTAAACGAATGGGAGGTAAGAGAGGTATAGAGAGAGGAACGGTTAGGGGCAGAATGAGTATAGGAGGATAGTAGGGGAGGAGCTGGAAGAGGAAGATAGGGAGAGGTAATGTGCTGTGAGAGATTGATACCGCTAGGAGGAAAATGACCGGAAGCCGAGACAAACGAGGAGAAGGGAAGGAAGGGATGGAGAATGAATTAGGTAATAACAAGGAGTGTAGGCATGTAGGGGTAGAGTGCGAGTATTTTGAAAATTAGGGAGCAGGAAAGGTAGACCAGTAGTGGTTGTGTGTGTGGGATTGGAATAGATGTGTATTGGTATAAATGTGTTGTGTGTGGGTGTGCGTTGCATGTGAATGTATGTTGGTGTAGTTGCTATAAATTTAAGAATTGTATAGGTGAGCACTAGGTGTAGGGGTGTAGTGGTGTATATGTGCTAAGTGTGAGTGTGTGTTGTATGGGGAGGTGTCTGTAGGTTCTGTACATATGTTAAAGAATTGGAGAGTTTCAATACAATGTTGTTGGTGTAGGAACAGTTTAGATTAGAATATCCGTAGTGGGGATTAAGTATGCGAGTTTACTGGGCATCTTGAGTAGGAACGGGTTGAAATTATCTTTGAGGTGGTTGAGTTAGGGAACGCCGATATTGGTTGTCATTATCTAGAAAAAGTAAGTCGATCGCCAATAGTGGTAATATTTGGGGGTCTCCGACGGGTAAGGTGTTGAGTCACCGATGTTGGTGACAGAAGAAAACAGTACTGGTGTGTGTGAGTGGCCAACTAAGAGTCGAGTGATAGAAGGGTAATTGATGGTCGCCAGTACTGGTGACGGATAAGAATAACTGTGTGGTTGAGTGGCCTAGTTAGGGCCGAGGGGGCGATATCGGAGGACGATCATACCTAGTATAAGTAACGATTAAATACTGGGGATACATATTAATACTGTAGAGTTAAAAAGTAGTAAGAAAATATGACTTAGACAATGGAAAGAGAAAACATTTAAAAATAGAATTTTAATTTGGTTTGTATGTTATACTTGTGACTTAATTTTTAGTGTACTGAATTATATGTACTCACTCTTTATTATTTATAGATGAAGTAGGGATGGAATCGAGATCGGAGTTGTCAGTTTCCGAACCTAGCATATAGAGAAAACAGAGCAAGAATTTCTACCAGTAAAATTGAGAGTTTAAATAATTAGTAGTAATGTAAATTGTGTGTCCACTGAGGATGTATGAATTTGCGCATCACTATAATGATGCATTTATGATTGAAGATTTATATTTAACATTGAGTAATAAGTTGTGGTAGTTTCTTTTCTGTGTGTGCGACACATTTTTAATATTTGGCCCATTGAACTGTTTGAGACTATACCGCTAAAAAAAAAAAAAAAAAAAAAAAAAACATTACAAGTTAATCGATTTGCATGTGCAGCAGCTCAAACTGAGAGAAGATACAACCTTGTTGTGAACAATGAAAGTTAAATTTAATGATATGAAACTCAATCCCCTATTCATCAAGCCAAACCTCTAGGTAAGATTCGTGTTCAATACATAATCCTTATTTTAGTGAGAATTTTATTTAGTATTTTTACCTTTTAACATTTTTTTCCTTTAAAATGAAGTTAGTGTATAAAGAGTAATCCAATAACAAAATCAAAAGAAATAATTGCAGTAACATTCTCGAGTTCTATAATCGTTTATTGAAGGCACTAGGCCATAAGTTGTGACCCTTCACCCTCCAACATAAAAGAGTGGAGACCCAACCATTCAAAACAAGAACCGCTGTCTATGGACACAATGATTTGAGTAGTTAGGTTAATCAAATTTGTATGTGTAGTTGGTCAAACTAAGAGGATATACAACCTTGTTGCGAGCGATGAAAGTTAGCTTGAGATATGAAACTCAATCACCTATCCACCAAAGCAAGCCTCCCTGTAAAAATGGTGCTTTATAAGGTGGAAAAAGAAGAAGACAGCAGGATGAAGTTGTGGAATAAAAACCTATCCACCCATGAAATAAGAAAATATACACCGTCATCATGCATTTAAGACAAAAACAAAAACAAAAAAAAAAAGAGACAGGGACTATAAACCCTAAAAAAACAAAATTGAATAGAAGAAATTTTCTCTTCAATATTACGTTTCAAATTATACCGACTATTTATCTGCCAAGTTGTTCCTCAAGAACTGTCTCTTCCATTGGGAAAATGGAAGGAGGCATCCGATGATATAATCATTTGTCCCTACCACAACAAAACTTGGCAGCTAGTTTCTGTTCTAAACGGTTCAGTGCAAAACCAAGTTAAGTACGTGCCCAACAATTCAGGTACATCACTTTCTGGATAGACTCTTCTGCTTGTTTTCTCTTACGTTCATCGACAAGGCGGTGACGATCTGCGGATGAATTACCATCAGAAAAGTTCTTCCTTTCACATGCTTTAAATTCTCGATGATGGCTGTTCCATCTCAAGCTGAACCCTCCATGACTTTCCACCGCAGGTGCGACAGCTGCCATGCAAACTCCGCTCAAGTAACCCATTTTTTTTCCCCAACTAGCTAGCTTTTCTATCAATGAAACAGTGGTTCTAGAATAAGGTCTAGGGTGGGTAGTGGGTGGGTATAAATAGACGCAAGGAGACAATATAATCAGTTGGCAAGGAAGAGCGGTTTGAGAAACCAGACAACTACCAAAACCAGCTGTAGAAACTCATGGTGTCTGGTTTTTTCCGGTGGCAGTGTTGGTGTCGTTTTGTAAAGGAATGAATCGGATGGAGGGAGTTTGGTTGTCAAGTTTTCAGAAATTTGTCCACAAAATACGTGGCATATTATTCATACAACACCTAAGATGCCACATGCAAATCTTTTTGCTTTTGGCGGTTCAATTCTTCTCTCCATACAAAAACCAAGCAAGAAATCCTCAAAACCCAACTTAGTGTTTGAACTAAACCTAATTGAAAATCTGATATAGGCTATCAATCATGATAACAACCATATTTATTAGTTAGCTTTATACAATACATATATTCTATAGCTTTATACAATACATAAATCACTACGGATATACCATACTTGCTTTTGCTAACATCACAGAAACGGCCAAATATGCTTCACTAAAAGACGGCACAAGAACACAGAATGCAAAGTAGAAAGTTTTTGGCATTTACAATGAAGAAGGTAAAAAATAGGTGTGGTGATGTAAGAAACCATAAGTAACTGCCAAAGAAGAAAGTAAAGGATGCTGAAGTCCTCACCTTGGCCTGATCTTTTGGTCACATACGGATGACACCAAAAGGAGCGCCAACAGGTTTGTCTCTCTGCTCCGTGTCCGTGTGGGCGTGTAGAAAATCCCAGGCGCTATATGCAACAAGCTGCGCCGGGGTTTTCCATAAGACGTCCTAATCACAGGACCATCATGTCATGAATAGACGAAAATTACACAGGCTGAGACTACTACTAACAATATAAGAATAAGAGATGACACTCATTACACAGCCTGAAACTACTACTAACAATAAAAGAATAAGAGATATACAATTACTCATCACAATGCTAGTCAAACCGGTATCCATTTGGTAAAAACTTGCATACAAAAAACCAAGTTTATTGTTGATAACAGATTAAACAAAATTACATTATCTACAGAAACAGTACCTATGCAAAGGGATTTTAGTCTCAAATCACAGATTCACATTCCTTTTATGTCAAAATGTTGGGAGATTCCTACATGATTCCTTGAAGAAATAATTTTATGTTACACGAAACGATTGGAAAGGTTCAGTTAATAACGGATTGTTTAAACTATCAATCACGCTGAAGAACTGGCATCCTATGCTGAGTCAACACCTTCAACCTGGAGTCGAGCAAGGTATCTTTCCCTCCGCTCTTTCTACACACCAAAAGAAAAACAAATAGGTGACTAAACATGGTATATGAGAAAATACTTCAAAAAGAAATGTTCTTTACTTTTCTCTCTTGATGAATCTCAATTCTCAAGAAGATTTCCCTTTTTTGTGAATCAAGAGGATTTCTTTTCTATTTTTATATGGTCGCTTGATCCAAGACAAACTCACCCATTCATCAATTACAAGTCCTTCCCCAATTATCTTTGGACCCACATCTTCTGGAGGTTTCTTGCGTGCCTCAAGTGCAGCATCAGCATCAGCTAATTGGCGCTTGAGTTTTTCTAGAGCCTTCAAAATTAGTTTGGAAAGAAAAATAAAAGAGACAGCCATAAGTCGTCATTCAGACACATGTGCTTTCATCTCCTTTCTTTGGAGGGTGTATACTTGGGAGAAGGGCAGTGTCATTTCTAATTATGCATTCCATTATGTGAAAGTATCAACTATGAGAACCATGAAAGATGAAAAGAGATAAAAAGGTAAAAAAAAAAGCATAAACAAGAAAATACCACAAGATAAATGGCTGTCATACAAATTGCAAGTAACAACATATAGAAAGTATTAAGAAGAAGAAAAAACTTACTGGATGAGGACGCTCGGGATCGAGAAAAACAACACGCAATATTTGCTCCATTGCTACTTGATCTTTTTGTTCATCAAACTATAACAATATGTTCAAGATTAGATGGCACTAATATAACACTTAGCCCCTATCTCCCCCCCCCCCCCCACACCACCCAACCAAAAGGAAAACTAAAAAAGAGAAGTCATTTCAACACTAATAGAGCATCAAAAAAGCAAATAATCAAAATGGCAGAACAAGTTATAAATGCTATACATTCAACAAAAGCAATAAAAACTTTTTTACTCTAATTTAAACTGAACCTAGCTATCGTATGCCCTTACATGAGAGAATGAACATTAGAGTTTCTCTGCAATAACAAGACTGAAAACAAGAGAATAATCAAGAATTGAATAAGCAAAGAATGAAAATCAGACTAAGTTACAAAAGATATTCATCCAACAAAGATAATAAAATTCTTGACTCTAATTTAAACTGAACCTAGCTATCATCCATGCCCTTGTCTGAGAGAAAAAGTTCTAGACTTCTGTGCAATCACAAGATTTAACATGGCAGGCAACCACCTTGCAACATGAGGAGCACAAAGCATTGGGTCTCAAGTCCTGAGCAGCTGGGCAAAGTGCATACTACATCCAAAAAAGCCCAACAGAATATTTGACATAGACAAGCCTCAACACTACAGCTTGAAGATAGCTGGCAGAGGCATCCAGAATGCTGAATGCAGCACCCTCCGTCCACTAATTACTTCAAAAAATTTACTACTAAATTTGAGAAAAACAATTAATAACAAGTAGATTTTCTACTTTCTCCTAAAAATGCTCATTGATTTGTTGAAAAACTGTAGTTGCCATGCATTTACATCTGAAGATGGTTTCAAATATTTTATAAATTTATAGGTTAGTGAAGAATAAGAGAGAAATGCAGCAATATAAGTCAACCAGAATATTCATAACTTGTTCACCAGCAGGCAATTAAATTAAGACACAGTAGACCTGATCGAAACAAATTAACTCACCAGCTCAGGTACATAATCCATCGGCCCTTTCACCTTCAGACTCATTATTTTGAACTTAACATTGCTCTTCTGGTCCATTGGTTTTTCATTGTTCTCAGGATGTTCAACAAACTTGAAAACTAGAAATTCATCCCCCAAAAAAAAAAATCAAAACCCTCTTTTGATAATCTATCCTCAGATTAAAAAAATTAATAAAACTATGAACTACATACCAGTTGCAATGATACTCTCACCAGGAGCAAGAATAGCACCTGGAGGGCGCATGAAACAACTTTTTGGTGCAGTAGTTTGAAACTAAATTGAAAAGATTAAGCAACTCATTAGAAGCAGAAGACAGGTTTTAACAAGACAAAACTTTCCTTCAACATATTACAAAAACTGTCGGAACTCCCAAAAGTTTCATCGAAAGTTATGTTTGGGACAAAGTAGAATCATTTGCAAATTCACCTTTCCTTTATTTAGTAGAAATGCAAATTCTATTAGAGTACAATAAAAATTGAGGCCATGTGGAGTTCTAGGAGGAATTAAATCAATGCATTCCAAATTCTATCAAGTTGATGGAATTTGAAAAGTATTTTTTAATTTCACATAGAATTTTGTATGAATTTAATTTTCATTTACTTTTTTGTAGTTGAGATAAATCTAAATTGTAAATAAACTCCATAGAAATTTTAAATTTGTTCAAGGACTTTCGAACAAATAATTTGACACAAGCCCAAGACAGTCAAAGAGACAACCAGTACCCAACCCACGCTAAAATAACCACCTCGCATGATCTCCATGATTCATCAAACAGTTAACAACCGCCTCCCATGATCTCCATGATTCATCAAACAGTTAACAACCGCCTCCCCTGATCTCCATGTCATCCAACAATTTCTTTTAACCACATAGATAGGGCCCTAATTAGCAGGGAACAATTGCGTTGTGTTTCTATATAAAGCATGTACGAAGAAGCATTTGAGATCATTTTGAGTATTAAAAAAAATTGAATACTTTCTCACCAAAGAGAAAAGTGTGTGTTAGTGTGTTTTGATTAGAACCTAATAATTTGGTATCATAACAGACAATGACAACGAACAAAGAACGGATCGAAAGTTTGGAAGCCAACGTTAGCAGCTTGCAAGAAAATTTCGGTCGAAAGGAGACCGAATTGGTGGGCAAGATGCAATCGATGGAAGAAACCTTTAGACGCTTGATAGAAGCGTTGAATCTTAACAAAGAAGGGTCCAGCAGTAACTCCACTGGCCAAATTAGTCCAAAATGGCCGAACAAGGACAATCACTCCGAACAGATAGACGGATTGCAACCCACATTCGAATCCAGAATAGCTCGCGTCGATTTTCCATCTTACAATGGTTCTGACCGAACGGAATGGCTTAATAGAGTTGAATAATTTTTTGAGTTTCAGGATAACCCGCAAAAGCATCGAGTGTCACTAGCTGCCTGCCATCTGGAGGAGGAGGTGAATCAGTGGTGGCAATGGTTGAAGAAGACTCACAGGGAAGAAGGAAAGAACTGGGCTAAACTGAATTCGTGGATGAACTTTGGCCTCGGTTTGGGCCAACAGAATGCAAGGACTTTGACGAGGCCTTATACAGAATGAAGCAAAATAGGCCACTTAGGGAATATCATAAAGAGTTTGAACGCTTGGGCAACCGGGGTTGGGGCTAGACCTAGAAAGCTATGGTGGGTACCTTCGTAAGCGGGCTTAAGCCCGAAATTGTAGATAGCATTATGCTCTTTTGGCCCAAAACGTTGAAGGAGGCCATCGGCTTGGCCCGGATGAGGGAGGACTAGTTGAACCGACAGAGACGGTCAGGCCGGGCCGGTTAGTTTGTGCCAGCTTCTCAAGTAAAAACCGTATCTTTTGCAACTTCTTCCTCCGAGACGAGCCCTACAGTCACCCCAAAGCGACTTCCATGGGAGGAAATGCAAAAAAGACGCGCACAAGGGCTTTGTTTCAGTTGCGATGCGAAGTTTTCTTCGGGACATCGTTGTCAGCGACCATAGTTGTTGCTGCTAGAAACAGAAGAAAAAGGTGACAAGGCAATCACGACAAGGGAACCAGAGATACCCCTACATGCTCTAACGAGGTGGCTGTCCGCCTGGAGTACGAAGTTTGTTACGAAAATTGAGAAACAGAGAGTCGTGATCCTTGTAAATAGCGGGTCGACTCACAATTTTCCCAGTGAGTGACTCGCGGCATCCATGAGCTTACCAGTGATGTCGACCAAACCCTTCTCTGTTAGAGTAGTAGATGGGCGACGGATGAAATGTCAAGGACTATTTGAACAAGCTACGATTAAGGTGCAAAGTATCACATTTAATCTTAATTTTTATGTACTGCCTTTGATCGGTTTGGATGCAGTTTTAAGTGTTTAGTGGCTGTCGAAATTAGGAGCAGTCACGTGTAATTGGACGAAAATGACGATGGAGTTTGTTTGGGAAGGCTGACCACGGTGACTCTGCAGTCTGAAACAACAACCTATTCTGCCAGCATCAAAGAAAAAGATAAATTGTGAGTTACAACAACGATATTCCTTGCTTGCAGTCTGTATGGCAGAAACACCTACACCAGCAACCTCATCAGTACATCCGGATATATAGAAGTTATTAACAGTATTTGGAGAATTTTTCGGTGAGCCAGAAGGGTTGCCACTGATAAGGGAGATTGAACACCAGATTACTCTTCGGGAAGGCACTGAACCCATCAATGTAAGACCCTACAGTTATGCTCATTTTCAAAAATCCAAGATTGAGAAGCAAGTCAACAAAATGTTGGACTCAGGATTGATCAGGCCTAGCACCAGCCCATTCTCATCTCCTGTATTACTAGTCTGTAAGAAGGGTGAAGCTTAGCGATTTTGTACGAATTATCGGGCTCTCAACTCTGTAACAATCAAATATAGGTTTTCTATTCCCACTGTCGATGACAAGTTAATTGAACTCCACGGAGCTCATTATTTAATAAAACTTGATTTGACTGTAGGATATCACCAAGTACAAGTTCATCCACCAGATGTGCATAAGAATGTTTTCCGAGCACATAATGGGCATTATGAATATTTGGTTATGTCGTTCGGCCTATGCAATGCTCCTTCTACTTTTCAGTCTATCATAAACTCAATCTTTCAACTTTATCTACATAAGTTTGTATTAATCTTCTTCGACGACATTCTTATCTATAGCAGCAGTTGACACTCACATCTTGATCATCTCAAACAAGCATTTGAAATATTAAAGCAACATTATTTCTTCATCAAGTTAAAAAAATGTGTATTTAGAGCACAAGAGCTCAAATACATGGGGCATATCATCACAAGGAGTCAAAGTTGATCAAAATAAAATTAAGACAATGGAGTCTTGGCCTCGACAGACTACTATCACTGAACTTAGGGGATTTCTAGGTCTCACAGGGTATTATAGAAAATTTGTCCGACACTATGGAATGATAGCAAAACCATTGATGATCTTTTAAAGAAAGGACAATTTGAGTGGTCTGAAACAGCTACACGTGCCTTTCAACAACTAAAACAAGCTCTCTCCACCACATCTACTTTGACTTTACCTAATTTCAATGCTCCCTTTGTTATCCAGACTGATGTTTCAGGAGAAGAAATTCAAAATGGACAACCGATGGCCTATATGAGTCGTGCCCTGGGAATCTCTAAACAAGCATGGTCTACATATACTAAAAAAATGTTAGCTATCATTGTTGCCATCGAATTATGGAGACCTCATCTATTAGGTCAAAAATTCTATATAGAAACAGATCAAAGAAGCCTGAAGTACTTGTTGGACAAACGTATTTCAACTCCAGAACAGGAAAAATGGGTTTCTAAATTTGTTTGGGTATGATTATGAGATTATTTACAAACCTAGCAAAGAAAATTCAGTAGCAAATGCCTTATCCAAAAGAGACGATTCCCCAACTCTGCATGTTTATCTATGTCTCATACTTAGTTATGGGAAGATATCTGCCTCACTATTCTAACCGATCCCTACATGCAACAAATTGATATAAAGGCTACATAGAATCCAAGCCAACCTTACAGTAAAAAGGGAGGACTATTATATTTCAAGCACCGCATTGTTATTCCACCTCAATCAACCATTATGAATCAACTTCTCCAAGAATTTCATAACAGCCACAATGCAAGTTATTCAGGCGTGCAAAGGACCTTCAAAAGACTATCCCAGAAATTCTATTGGCCATCCATGCACAACACTGTTAGTGATTATGTCTCTTCTTGTGACACTTGTCAGAAGATAAAATCAGATACCCTTACTCCAGTCAGACTTTTACAACTATTG